CCATCCTATTTTTCCTTTGAGTCACAGTTGGGGTTTTGGGTTCCAAAAGGGATTAAGGGATGAAGAAGCCATCAAGCACTTGTTTGTCAGAGCTTCTCCTACTTCTTGATAAAGTCTGCTTAGAGCCTTCTAAATTAGATAGGAGAGTTTGGTGTCCAAATCCTAAAGGCTTTTTCTCTTGTGCCTCTTTTTTCAAAGCTCCTTGCCAATCCCCCTTCTCTCTGTCTTTTCCTCGGAAGGAAGAGTGGTCTTAGCTGATTCCCCCTAAAATTAAGGCTTTCTGCTGGGAGGTGGTATATGGGAAAATTAACACTCTGGATCACTTGCAAAAGAATAGGCCTTTTTTTGTGTATTTCCCCAACTTGGTGCAATCTTTGTAAATCAAGTGGTGAATCTTGTTATCACTTACTCATTTCCTGTTCATTTGCTACAGAAATTTGGGAGTGGTGTTTCTATTTGTTTGGATGTAGGTGGAATATGCCAATGGAGATTAAGATGATGTTTGAACCATCTACATTTGTTTGGCCAAAGAAAAGGGGAAGAATAATGTGAAGGTGCACTATAGCAGCAGCGGTGTGGACATTATGGGAAGAAAGAAATGCTAGAATCTTCCAAGAGAAGGAGAGAAGTAAGCAACAAATTATGGATTGTGTAATGTACCGGAACCATACATTGACTACAAACTATGGAACTATTTAGACATTTCTCCTTCGATGACATTTGGAGGAATTGGTTTTTAGTGGCTTCTAGTTTAGTGCAGAAGAGTAAAACATGGCTGGTTTGGACATCTCCCATTGAAGGCTTTATGAAACTGAACTTTGATGGGAGTAGTCAGGGCAACCCAGGCCTTTTTGGAATTGGAGGGACCATAAGAGATAAGGACGGGAATCTGAGAGCATTCTACTTAGGACTGATGGGGAATGGAGACTCCTTAAGGACTCAACTGTATCCAGTCCTACAAGGTATATAGATTGCAAGTGAGATAGGATTGGAGAATTTGGTGATAGAAGGGGACTTAAGGTGGCGGTGGGTTGGTTTAGAGACCCAAACTTAGTGATATGGTGTTATAAAAATGAAATGAAGAAATTCAAATGGGTAACACAACATATGAATTTGACTATACAATGGATGGGAAGAGAGGCTAATGCATTTGCTGACTATCTAGCTAAGCAAGGAGTAACTAGGGATCAATTGTTTTGGGCCCCAATTGTAATTTTTGTGTTGTTTTCTTTTAAAGAGTGAGGCTGCACCTTGCGCCTCCCCTTGGGATGCTTGTAACAGACATTTATCTTTTTGCTGATAATGAAATTTTAATGAACTTTTACCTATCAAAAAAAAGGAAGAAGAAAAGATACAAGTGTTGGAAGGGTTAGGATCCATCATATGGATCGCCGAACCATGCTAGATGGCTGGGCAAAATTTAAAAAATTTCCTAATCTTCTGGGAATCAAATTCCCCATGTTTTGAAAAACTGCATTTTTCAGGATCGGTCTTTCACTGAACCTGACCAGATTTGAAACCAATCAAAGAGGGAGATGTATACCTGATATGGATACCACAAACGCAGACCCCAAGGTGGAAGTTCACGCCCAAATCAGTCCTAAAACCAGCCTCCACTGAAGATGGCGCAATGTATTCTTGAAGCCGGTTCAGCAACACAATTTTTGGCAAAACTGCAACCCAACTGTTTGGATCGAACTAGGGAAGTTGAGCCTGTTCTCCCCTGAATTTTTCTTAAAAAATCAGAGGAAAAACATATCTATATCAGTCTTAGATAGCTGAGGTCGAACTAGGAAAAAACTGGGAGACAAAAGGGTGCAGAGAGAAACAGAAACTGCAAAAATATGAAGCTGTCTTGGACTGGTCCGCCCCCTCCTCTTTTATAATCTCTTATGGAGCTATCTCCTAATCTAATTAGGAGATAATCCAAATCTAAATCAGATTTGGACTCTAATTAGAGGTATACCTTATCTTCTTATAAGATTAGGTGCTCCATACCCAGATCTAAACCCAGATTCGCCCCATGTCACATGACAACTAAAGCTGTCATGTGACAACTTAATTAATCATATTAATTATGGGCCTTAGGCCCATCAACTATAAGTCTCACGATCCAAGGGTGTTACATGGCCAACTTGATTTGTTCGGCGTGAGACCCCACAATGACCTCACATAAGTCCACATGGGTTTGGCCCAACCTTTGTGAAAAGGCTTAGCCGAATTCACTGCTAAATGCAGTGAACCCCTGAGCACATCACTATGGGCTCAATACGGGCCCAACATTTACACTTAAATGATCATTGAATTCAGCCATCCTATGAAGACCCAAGGATAATGGACTTAAGTAAGATAAAGCCCATCAGGTAATCAACCCTTAATGGTCTCTTACACTTAACCTCTCAACCCATAATGATCAAAGACTGCTCGATAGGGAAGGACCTCTCCCCTGGTTGCAGGATACAGTGTCACACTCTTTACTCGGATGGATCCTGAGAATTAAAACCTTTTTGCAAACATTTTTCATAAAACATTAATACATATATCATATAAATATATTTTGCAAAACCAAATCTTAAACATAGTTGAAATCCATTGCCGGATGTTTAGGTTTCCATCCAGAGAGAGTGTAAGCCCTATCATTCACTTTGTCCGACAAAAGGGTCGATCCTATCACTATGATCACCCACTCAGATGAATTCTTAGACTGTCCCAACATACCCAGGTTTTGACCATCAATGGATCTCACTGATTGGTGTATATCAAAAACAATCCAATCCAACACCTAGTGCAGTACCATAATCAAGTCTAGGGGTTATGTGTAACTTTCCAGTTTTGCCCATCAATCTCCAAGGTGCAGGGCATAATTGGCAAATGGTTCGGGTTCAGTGTTTCAACCAAACACACATTGCATGTGCTTATCCTTGGTAGGATAAACTCCCCAAGTCTATCTAATGGCTGAGAACATTTTAAACTAACATGAGTCTCATAAGTGTACAGTTTAAGGGGTAATTTCTCAGAAACATACCAATATCAACATGAAATAATAATGTACTTTTATTCATTTACAATAAATGTATATGTACATTGTTAGTGAAGGGGTATTTCGGTCTTTGTACCTGTTGAGAATGCTGATGTTTACTATTATGTTAGTTCGAGTGCCTCTTACTTAAATAAGGGCCCTTATGTCTTTTTCAATTACATTAATAATATAATAACAGGTCTGGCCGAAACTAGGGTTGACTTTTCCTAATTTCGAACTAGACCTTTTCTCTTCTCCTTCCTCTTTCTTCCTTCTTCTTTCTTCTCTTCCTTCTTGCCTAACAAACAAAACAAACTTCTAGGGCAGGCCGAACTTCAACATACATCAATTTGATTGGAGCTAAGGGCATACATTGTCTAACAACAAGAGAAGTATTAGTAGTAGAATTCGAAATTAAAATTTGGTATTAAGTATTTAATATTTTTCATTCCCTTTATCAATTTCTAAGTTCAAGCAATAAGGTTTCCTCCATTTGAATGCACTCAAACAAAAAGAGTTGTATTTTTCCTTGTCATATTTGGAGTCATTCCTTAATTTGGAATGGGCTTTCAATTTTGGGTTCGTATTTCCATATATAGAGGAACCACCCATAGGTTGTTTGGTACAATTGCTCTTTCTACCTGAAACATTTTAGGTTGATTTGTGGAAATCAACATACAACTGTTATTTGAAGCTATTTGTAGTTGAAACAGGCATATACCTTAAAAGTTGAAGAATGGGAGGTTGTTTGTAGAAAGTAGAAGTGTCAAATTGATGTTTCTAGCTCCAAGGGGCATGAAATATAGGTTGTGTTTGGTCAAAGACACTTCCAAATAAAATAAAAAGAAAATCTATGAAAATGAAGAAGATTATAGTCTCAACAGCATGTGACAGATATTCTCCCTATTCAATAATCTTTTTTCTCAATGGGTATCCCCATCTACTCCCTCTTTAATGTCCACTTTCACTAGCATCTCTACAGTGAACAGCCAAATCATGACTTGGATGTGGCTCCAACAATCCTGTATTAATAGTGAAATCACCAACAGAACCTGCAAATATAAAATCATATTCAACAGACTTCTTTTGAATACACAAGGCCCTCGATAGTTGAGAGCCATTAGCATCATCCACACATTCCAGTGCTTTCATTGCCTCAGCCAATTTGTTAGATTCAAATTGTGGGATAACACTGTCATCATTTGCATCATCGTGTATTTGTCACATGTCTTTCCTTTCATTTACTTATTCAGTTATTCTTGTAAAGGTAGTTTGGGTATTTAGGTATCTAGCTTTCACTTATGTCACTAAAACTACCAATGACCAAAATCTTTCCCCTTTGAATCTAAAATTTTGGAATTTGTATTAGACAAAATATACCCCTGTAAATTTATTTAATTCTCTTGAGTGGTATTTTAAATAGTGATAATTTTGTAATTTTACATTTTATAAATTGATTATTTTTCCTAAAAAAACTTATTCTTTTGAAGTATTTTATGACCTTTTTTTAACCTTCCATATATATGATGTTACTCTGAATGTGTTATGGGATTGTTGTAAATTTTCAGGGTATTATAGTCAATCAAATATTTGCAAAAATGCACTCATCGCTGCTTGATAAACCCTCTCAATTCGTTGTTTGAAAAAAAAAAAAAACTAACTCTTCATTCAACAATCCAAACTTGCAAGATTTCTGAGCTGACTGAAGTTTGAGTTTGATTGAAATTTGAGTATGGATAGTAGAATTTATATCAATTTTCAAATTTTTATTTTTTTACATCCTTTTCAACCTGCAAAAAGAACAAGAATTTACTCCCATTGTTTCTCACATATTTGTTATCTGCAAGAAGAATAGCATTCAAGTTGAGATAAGAAAATAGATAATTCATTGTTTTGAATGTTTCTTAACTTTTCTTTTGATGAAACCTTTTGCCCAAACTCTAACTTCTCTTTTGACAATACCTTTTGCCCAAATTTGCAGATGCAGGTGCCAAATCATTGTTGCTCAAGTTTGGAAGGTCAGTTGTTTTTAGTGGGTCTCATAATTGATATTCTTCTATTGCTTTCAGGTATGTTTCTTCATCTTTCCAATCCAAATATAGTCGTTTATGGTTGCTTTCTTTTACTGCTGAATTTTTTCACTTAGATTATCAAAGAGAAAACACTTTCCATTTTATATAAAGTAAGACCTCAAAGGTGCTTCTTATATAAAACAAGGTTAATGTCACCTAACTTGTAATGGTTCCTGCATAAATGTTTATCAACAAACTCAAAACTTCTTGCAGCCATCAATCTTCAGGTGATAAAATTCACTCTGATAAATCAAGGGATGAGCAATGATGGGCCAGACTGGTCTGATTCCTGCCTGGCTGAAGGTAAGGTTGCACCTTAGGTTAAAAACTTAAAATTATAGGCTTGAAGTCGTTGAGACCATAAAGTCAGAATCTTATTAAAAACCCATCAGACAAGACCACTTACTACAGGAAATAGAGTAACTCTTTGAGTACCCTACCTTGTTCAAGGAATGTGCATTCTCTAAAGCAATCAATAAGGGTTGCAACCTCACACCTGTGTGTGCATATGCACTCTTCAAATTTAATGGACTTGAAGATCTACCAAATTGTTGATGAGAGGCTGCTATGAGGTTACTTGCGCCACAGAAGAACGTTAGCTTCAGATAGTCAGGGCTAACATGCTAAAGGTTAGACTGTTGTATCAACTTAGCAGCAACAGGCTAACATTGGGTAATGGGCCTTGTTAACATTGAGTAATTTTTTCAAGTTAATGCAGCTGATGAGCTACAATTCCAGTTGGTTGACCCAAAACCTGACCTTCCCTGCCAACAATCAAATGCACAATATCTTGCAGTTGGGGGATCTTCTACTGAAGGAAAGAAGGAATGCTTAACATTGTTCCTGGATCCCAACCATGAAATGTAGATGCACTAACAATTGCCTGAATTGTTTGACTATCCATAGCATCCAGTGTTTTGATCTGATTATCTGGAGTTCTGGACTCGATGAGAACTGCAGAGGTGGGCTGACATCAGAGCAGCCAGGTGCAGTGAATTGAAATGGTTGAAAGATTGACAATTTGGGCTGAAATTTTTAAATGACCCATTCCCCAAAAAGGATTTTGGCCAGGCTTCTGAACAAAAACTTCCTTTAGGATCCATTTTCAGATCCCATTGCAAATATCCCCGAAATCCAGTGGCTTACCTATGAAGGAAAACAAAACAGCAACACTTAATTAGAATTCCTATTTCTCAACAACAAAATCATTTCAAGTCAGCAGAAAACAATACCACCCACTACACGATATTTCATCCTAAAATCTAAATAAGACCCATATGACTTCATTTTCATAGGAAGGAAAAGAGAATTATTGAATTCAATTATTCAAGCTCAAAATTATAGTGTTTGTGGTACCCACTTCTTAGTAGGAGTTTCAATGATTGGGAAGTTGAATCTTTTGTGAAGTTAATGCAACTGCTTTACAGTTCTTGTGTGAGTAGAAATCATATTGGTTGGAGAGAATAGCTATAGGAAATGTCTAGAAAGTTCTTGGTCATATCATTGATGTCAATTTCCTGCCTAATAAGTTGGCAAATTCTGAGGCTTTTAGCATTTGATGAGAAGTGGGAAGTAGAAGTGCTTGATTAGTAATTACTTGTATCATATGGTAAAGTTGAAAGGGTGTGGGTTTGGGAAAAGTCAAGGACATTCTCTATTAAATCCTTATACAACAAGATGCATGGGCCAGTGGAGAGAACAATCTCCTCGTTTAAAAATTTGGTACTCATTATGATGCTTTGAATGCTAAGTTATTTTGGGTGGACAATTGTCTTGGATAAGTGCATATTATCCTCATTTAAAAAGGTATGGTCATTGCCTCGTTGCTATGCTGATTGAATGCTCTATCATATAAACATAGAAGCAGTAAACCACATTCTTCTACATTGTCAATATGGACCTACTTTCTGAGGATATTTGAGGTGCAAACGTACTTGTGTGCTTTTCAGGATCAATTGAAGACTTCTTTAAGGTTGGAAGTTGCAGGGGCAGAGCAAAAGGGCCAGGATAATTTGGAGAATGGTACCATTAACTGTTTTTTTAAGCTATATGGAGTAAAAGTCAAATTAGAAATCATTAATCTACAAGCATAGCATTATAATGGCAAGACTTCTATATTGACCACTAAATAAATTTCAAGTTTCTTTTGAAGTTTTCTCATTTTTATCTGGTTGATTCAAGAAATTTGTTAATTAAAACATGACAATGATCTCATCTTTTCTTTCTTGCCTCTACATGATTTACATGACTTGTGTGAAAGCCAATGCCAACTAATCATAAAATGACCAAGGGATACAAAAAAAAAAAGAATGGATGGTTCTGATGATAATTCAAAGAAGCAAATAAAGACAGCTTGTGGTGGGAATAACCAGAGAAAACAAAAAACAGATTGATGAAATAATAACCATAGGGAAGGGGAGAGCTGAATATGTACTAACAGGCTTGGAAAAGGTCCATTGTACACCTTTAAAAGAGCTAAAACCTTCTCTACATATAGAAGGGATCTCTACCACAACGGGACAAGTGCAGTGCATGAACAATGATTGTCAGATTGTGGATGTAGCATGTTGAGTGTAGAAGCTGGCCATGTAGGTTTTCTAATACGTATAAGAAAATTTTCAACCGAATAATTCTAGGCCAACTCTTTTCATGAATTGAATCTAAGTATGTTTCTCTTTTTTGTGCTTTTTTTAGTTTGCTCTATATATTAGATATAACTAACATTAGTGTTAACTGTATTGCAGAGGCTACCATCAGCTCCTACAATTAAATCCACCCTTGTTATTGCAGCTTGTGTGTGCAAGTATTCTCACCACAATAGTTGCATTGATTCAATAGATCATAAAATTCTATTGTGGATTTGTTAGAGCTCTGTGGAGCAAGATGTTGGGCATTTTTGGAAGCAAAGCCATTACTTCAACTCTTAGTAGACATTACGTAACCATGCAAGAAGGATATAATCATGAGAACTAAGAATATCACCAACAACCATGCCCCTAAGGACCCATTAGTGGGTTTTCATTAAGAAGTTAACCCCCTAATTGTTTCCTGCTGGATATGCTTCAAAGTTAAATTGTAAACTTATTCATGTTTAGATGAGATTATGACCATACTCAACTTCCTCTATCTTTCTTTTGCTATAGCACTAACTTTAAACCTGTTAGTTATTCAATCAGACCTGATTTACTTCCTGAAATAAAAAGGAAAATAGTGAGGAAGAAGGGAGAAAGAAGAAGGAGAAGAAGAGAGGAGAGAAATAGAGGAGAAGATGAAGAGATGGTTCGACTGTCCTTAGAAGAGAAAAATCAGTCTCCCAGCCGACCAAAACAATATGTATGTATATATTATAGATTTCTAATTTGAAGTACAATGACCATTGCGCCCTTCTTTATGTATGGAATACTATTCAATCTCAAACGTAATAGACAAAACAACCTAAAGTAAAATACTATGAAATGACTCAATTACCCCTGGACCGTTGGCTCTAACATTCCCCCTCAAGCTGGAGAGTATATATCATATAATCCTAGCTTGTTACATATATGGTCCACCTTTCCCTGATTCAAACTTTTTGTAAACAAATCAGCCCACTGACTCCTTATGTTGATATGTACTGTATTTACACTCCACTAAGCACTTTTTCTCTTACAAAATGATAGTCGACTTATATGTGTTTTGTTCTCTCGTGATAGACTGGATTAGATGCAATGTGAACAACAACTTGATTGTCACAGTACAACTTCATAGGATTGGAAGTTGGTAGCAAGTTGTTCCTCCTACGAGGTAAGGGTATTGACTAGTTGGGTCCCCCCTCCTCTTGGTTCTTTGAAGCTGAATTTTGATGGGAGTAGCCAGGGTAACCCAGGTCCCTCTGGGATGGGAGGTGTACTGAGGAATGAGGCTGGAGAGTAGACCTGTTCATGGTCCGGGCCGGGCTCGGGCTGGGCTTTTACTCTTCATAAACATGATTTTGTTGGGCTCGAGCCTGAGCCCAGCCCGACCAACGGGCCTATAACATGGGCCTAAGCCCGGCCCTAATAAAAAGCCTGAAGCCCGGGCCCGAGCCCAAAGCCCGACCTAAGAGAAGAAAGAACTCACCGCCGGTGACTGTGTTCGCCAGTGCTGAGTTCGCGTCTGTGTGTGTGTGAGAGAGAGAGGATTCACCAGCCGGTGCTCAGTTCGCGATGAGATGCGATTTTTACAATGAAAAGAGGAGTCAGTTCGCATCTGAGAGAGAGAGAGAGAGAGAGAGAGAGGACTAACTGCTGCCGCCGCCGGTGCTTGTCTTCGCCGCCTCGCCGGTGTAGATTTGAAAGAGAAGAAGTGAGAAGTGGAACGAGAGAGAGAAAGAGAGAGAGAGAGAGAAGACTCACCGCCGGTCTGTCGGAGTTGTTGTGCTGGTGAATTTTCGCCGGTTTTGCGGCTGCTTGAGAGTGAGGATGTGAAGAGGAGAGGTTCGGCACTGGGCAAGTGGGCAGTTCGGCTAACAACAACAGGAAATGTGGAAAGAGATGAATGAGAAGGGTTAGGATATTAGGGTTTTTTTTAGTCTATAGGTCGGGCCGGGCTATTTTGGCAAATCGCGAGCCTGGCTCGAATTTATTGCGGGTCGGGCTTTTTGGCCCGCGGGCTCATTTGCGTGTTCAAGCCTGTCCGGGGGCCGGGCCGGCCCGTCGGGCCACCTGGCCCATGAACAGGTCTACTGGAGAGGTTGTCTTAAAAGATAGTGGTGGACTGGTTAAATAATCTGGAGGATGTCACTTGGGGCTACAAAAATGAGCTAAAGAAATTCAAATGGCTGACAAGAAATTTGTCTATAATAGTACAATAGGTTGGGAGATCAGCTTATGCTCTTGCCGATGTCTTGGCAAAACAAGGGATAAATAGGGAAACATTGTTCTGGGCACAACTGTAACTCTTGTTTTAATTTCAACATTCATGTATTCTCTGTTGTAGTTTGTGTATTTGCTATTCGGAGAGGCTGTTCCTCGCGCCTCTAAGGGGATTTTCTTGTATCTATTCATTATTTTTATGGAAATGATGTTATTTATCAAAAAAAGAAACTTCATAGGATTGTTGAGTGTATATCCAATCTCATGGAGACGGTTCTTCAACCCCACTAACTCACAAATTGTGTGTGCGATGGCTCTATATTCAGCTTCATCATTGCTTCTTGCTACCACTATTTGTTTCTTGTTCTTCCACATTACCAGATTTCCTCCAAGAAAAGTACAGTACCCTGTAGTAGACCTTTTATCAGACAATGAGCCAGCCAATCTACATATGTATATCCCTCTATTTCAAGACTTCCTCCTAATGTGTATAATAATCCACGATCTGGAGCCCCTTTCAAATGCAATACAATCCTCAAAACTACATTCCAATGGGGAACCCGAGGCTTTTGCATAAACTTGTTGACTACACTCACTACAAAGGAAATGTCTAGCCGGGTAATAGTCAAATCATTCAACTTACCTAGTTAACTCCTATACCTCCCAGGATCATCAAATTCTTCACCTGCATCAGTGCTTAATTTGGTGTTGGGTTCCATAGGTGTTTCGGCTAGTTTAGTCCCCAACAATCCTGCCTCTTCTAACAAGTCAAGCACATACTTCCTTTGACAAAAATTTATGCCATGCTTCGACCTTGCAACTTCTATGCCAAGGAAGTATTTTAATTTGTCAAGATCTTTTGTCTGAAAGTGATCATGCGAAAATGCCTTCAATTTATCAATACCAACTTATCCCTACTTGTAATGAAAATGTCATCTACTTAAACCACCAGTACAACCTTTCTAGCTTTAGAATCATAGCTGAACACCGAATGATGAATTTGACATTGCTTCATACCAAAGTCTGTAACTACCTCTTTGAATCTACCAAACCAAGCACGTGGAGATTGTTTCAATCCGTAAATTGCCTTCTTAAGTCTACACACCTTACCATCCTCCCCTTGAGCCAAAAACCCTAGTGGTTGCTCCATATACGCCTCTTCACTAAGATCACCATGCACAAATGCAGTTTTAATGTCAAGATAAAATAGGGGTCGATCATACATAGATGCTAAAGATATCAACACATAAACTAAGCCAATCTTGGCAACCAGAGAAAATGTCTTTGTATAACCCACACCATACAACTGAGAGTACCCTTTGGCCACCAACTTAGCCTTTAGGCACTCTATGCTTCCATTTGGTAAGTATTTAATGGTATACACCCACTTATAACCTACAACATGCTTACCAAGAGAAAGAGTGGTGAGCTCCCACGTGTGATTATGATAAAGGGCCGAGAGTTCCTCTTCCATTGCTTTGCACCACTCCAGGGAGGTAATAGCTTCTTGGACATTCTTAGGAATAGAAACAGTAGACAAAAGGGAAACAAACTGACGAGAGACAGAAACTTAGTTAGAAATAGGATGCAAAGTACAACCCCGTTTACCTTTACGCAAGGCAATGGGATGATCAAGGTCAGACAGAGAAGGCACCACATGGTTAGGAACAACTGTTGGATCTGTCGACAGAGAAGAAATTGGAGGAGCCGGGTATCTTTCAATGCGTATACACATGCCTGATAGGTGGTCGTTCAGTAGGAACCTATAGTGGAGGAGATGAAGACTTGGGAACAACGAGAATAAGAGGAGTGGGGTCGTCAACAGGAATTGGAAGTGGAAGCACAGGAGATGAAGAAGGAATATCAGGGCACACAAAGGAATGTTGAGAAGATGGATTATAACACTTATAGCCGTTTTGTGTCTGAGAGTAGCCAAGAAAGATACACTTGATAGAGCGTGCATCTAACTTGTCCATCCCCGAGCGTAGATTATGAACAAAGCATACGCACCCAAAAAAACCTAGGAATAAGAGGAAAGGGAGACAACGTAGGAAACAAGACAGAAAAGGGAGACTGGCCTCCAAGGATAGACAATGGCATCCTGTTAATGAGAAAACAAGTTGTAAGAACAACATCACTCCAAAAATGTTTAGGAACACTCATATGATGCAAAAGGGGCCGGGCTGTCTCAAGCAGATGACGGTTCTTGCGTTCAACCACCCTATTTTGTTGAGGTGTATAGGTGCAAGAAGTTTGATGGGTGATCCTGTGTTGTTCTAAGTATTCTTAAAACAGGGTATAGAAGTATTCTTTCCCATTGTCAGAACAAAGAATTTTAATGTGAACACCAAACTAAGTGTGAATTTCAACATAAAATTTTTGAAAAATGGAGAACAATTCACTCTTTTCTTTCATAAGATAAAGCCATGTCATCTTTGAATAATCATCAACAAAAATTAGAAAGTACTTATAACCATTGTATGACACAACTCTATTTGGATCCCAAATATTTGAATGGACTAAAGAAAAGGACTCAAACTATGACTATCAACTTTAGAACTAAAGGAAACCCGATGATGTTTCTCATACTGACATGACTCACATTCCAATGAAGAAAGACGATGTAATGATGGAACAAGTAACCGAAGTGTCTTTAAAGAAGGATGACCAAGTTTGCAGTGCCATTGAAGAGGTGTAAGAGAAGATTAGAGAGCTATTGTTGAACCACCACTATCAAGATTGTACAATCCACTAGCTTCATGCCTTCCACCAATCTTCATCCCCGTCTTGAGATCTTGAAAAACACAAGTCAGGAAAGAAGGTTACAAAGCAATTTAGAGATTTGATCAATTTGCTAATAGACATAAAGTTGAAAAGGAATTTGGGTACATACAAAACTGAAGATAAAGATAACGATGCAATGTCTAGATTGCGAACACCACAAATGGGTGAGGTAGAACCATTAGCTAAAGTGACTGTTTATGTGTCAATAAGGTTATTGATGCCGAATCGGAAGCTGGTGCAATGCAGCTACTACAGGAGAATGAAAGTGTTGATAAAGCTATTGGTAAGGTGCTATCCAAAAATTAGTTGATAGGGAGGTCACAATTGGGAAAAGCTTGGATTTATGTTTTTGGGGCAGTGAGGAATTTGCTAGGAGGGCTTATGAAGAATTTGAAAGAAAAAAAGAGGAAGAGAAATTGAAGACCAAAGTGCATTTGAAAGGGAGCAAGGTCTAGGATGAGGAATTCACAAATCAAGAGGATGAGTTTATAGATGAAGACTAGTGTTGGAAACTAGATAGGTTCTGCCTTTGTCTAGAGTTGGGCGGTGGTTTTTGCTTTAATGGGGTCTTGTATGGGGTTTCTTTTTTATGGAGTCTGTTTAGGTTTTATTTTGCTTGTGAGGTGTAGTATTCTTAGGCCTGTTTGGCTTTCCCGTGGATGCTTCTTGCTCTAGGTGATGTCTTATCACCTCGTTTTTCTCTTTACCAAATTTTCTTTTCATTCTTCAATATATATGTATGTTTTCAAGATGGAGAGAGGGAGGGAAACAAACCTAGAGTCTCAATTATATGATTGGAAGCTCTAGAGTCAATAATCTAAGGTGAGGGTTTGAAAGTCAAGCAAGCCATACTTGAGTAGGCAAGAATAGTTGTATTCTGTTGGGAAGTTAGACAAGCCTTACCTGAAGGAACCTTTCATACTCATCACGTGAAATACTCATCATCTCCTTCCCAGAGGCACTAGTAGATGTAGAAGGTGATTGATTAGTTTGTTGGGTATCAACCGCATCACCACTTCTTGTTGTTGCATGATTGGCCCATGTAGAAGGATGTCCATGTAAATCATAACAAAAATTAACAGTGTGTCCTTCCATCCCACAATGTGCACTTTTTAGGCCCATAACCGCGACCTCCCCCTGAGTCTTGACTTCAACTATGTCCACCACCATGATGCAACATAGGTCCACCATGGCCTACCTGAACTCCATGACCTCCTCTATTTCCACAACCTCCCCCTCTCATCACTGCAAAGATTGATCTATCTGAGATTGTGGGACTCTCTAAAGACCCAATGTTAATCCTACGAAGTCGTGCAAACAGATCCTCAAGAGAAGGAAGAGCAAAGCCTCCAAGAATTTGAGCCCTAACTGGTTCACACTCAGCCTTCATTTTAACATCTGATGTCAAGGGATGATAGAGATTCAGTTCATTCCGAAGGTTCTTCATACTAGCATAGTACTCCTCAAGTGTTTGATTTCCTTGTAGATTAAAGTATTCTTGATAGAGCTGATATACCCTTGTAGTATTATCTTGTCCAGAATAGAGCTTCTTGGCATGATCCCATATTTCCTTAGTTGTATCAAGAAACATATAATTCACACTGATTTTGGGTTCCATACTATTCCACAACCATGTCATAATTTGTGCATCTTTTTCCCAATGACTATTCCATTGGGAATCAGCTGAGGGTTTTTTCTCTCACATGTTTCACTTTCTTTTTGGCTCTAAGAAAGACCTCCATTGACTTGGCCCATGGCACATAATTTTCACCATTCAGCTTGATGGAAGTCATTTGTTGATTCAGAAAATCAGGGGGAATCATAACGCTGGATTTCTTTTTTCACTATTCTCTCCTAGGGTTGCCATGGGTAAAAAAAAAAACTTCACTTCACAACACCACACTATACCACAACCAATCAACTACGACCAAAACATGTGCTGTAATTAATTTTCAGCACTATTCTCACACATATCACCCACTTCTATCAACAAGAAACACAGACAAAAGCTCCGAAACATGTGTTGTAACAGGTTTCAACACTGTTCTCACACTTATCACTCACTTCCATTAACAAGAAATATCCAGAAAATCACTTCTTATACATACCTGTTAATAGGCCGGCTACAAAAAGTCCAGAAAACCACAACTGTGACCTTTCAGATCATTGAAACAACCCACACGAGCTGCTGCACACAAACTGATCATTGACAGTCCCTCTTCGATACATCGACTAGAGGGTTTCTCTAAAACTCCACTGAAACCACACCTTCTACTGCAACAGGAGACATGGATACCTCCCTAGACAAGAAATAATAACTCCTTTTTAGTCTCTCTTTTATCCTCCAAGTATTCACCAAGAAACCTAAAACTCAATGTGCTGAAGGCGCTAAGAAGAGAGAAAAAAAAAACTGGGAAGAAAATCAGGGCTCTAATACCATGTTAGTTATTCGACCAGACCTGATTTACTTCCTGAAATAAAAAGGAAAATAGAGAGGAAGAAGGGAGAAAGAAGGAGAAGAGAGAAGGGGAGAAAGAGAGGAGAAGATGAAGAGATGGTTCGGCTGTTCTCAGAAGAGAAAAATCAGTCTCCCCAGCCAAGCAAAACAATATATATAAATTTCTAATTAAAAGTACAATGACCTTTGTGCCCCTCTATATGTATGGAACACTATTTGATTTTGGACATAATAGACAAAACAACCTAAAGTAAAACACTATGAAATGACTCAAATTCCCCTTGACTGTCAACTCTAACAAAACCACAAGCCCGAAATTGAACTAGCATGCATTGAAAGCAAAATCTAGACATCAATCTTGATTCTTTTTTTTTTCTTCTGGTAGACTAGGATCCTAAAACTCAAATTTGACAAGACTTATAACCAGGAACCCTCCTTTTTTTTTGAGAAAAAAACAACATCCATTATAATTTAAGACTGGTAACTAAATTTCAATCCAAGTGCAAAGCCAACATCTAGAGTTGAACCCCAAACACAAAGAAAGAACCTGATATGTGACCTTGTGATTAAAGCTACTAAAAATGTTAGGACTGCCACACCATAAAATCTAATTGATGGAGATTAACAACCACCTCTTCATATAAACCTGAATGAGTAGCAATTTTTTTCTCAAATTTCCATGCAAGCAAGAAAAAAGGAATACATGCATCAGGTCCGGGGAACTCCTTTCATTAATAACAGATTGCATGATCATTGTTTGTCCAAACAATTATGGGAAGAGATCTGTTGCTAACACTATCTCCAATTTTAATGTAAGATGGAACACGGACTTGGTTCATTGTGCGAGATGACTAATCAAAATTCAAATTCATATGTTCACTCTTATACTGCATCCTACTATCCTAACAAGCAACTAGACAACATATTTCCTGATATGGCTCCTAAACGATATGACCTATGTACAGATTCCCCATATATATACCTTGTTTTCTAATCCAAAGGTTTCATAAGATACAGATTCATGTGAAAATATCATTGTTGTTATTGTTTCTAGAGTAAAGGATTTTGAAGTTGTAAGTGAACATAAGATTATAAACAGCTCCTTTGAGCTCCAACATTCCCAATTTACAGCCTCCATGAAGTCATAAGATTATAAACAGCTCCAAGTCCCAAGAATCTCATACTAAATTTTTTTGTGCGTCTTAGATTCACTTTTAGACAAATGGGAGCCTATTAGGACTTCAGCCATCAAACCCCCCCAGATTTTATTTTTTCAAACATTTGAAGTTAGAATCTCATATGTCCCTCTAAGGATGTGTCACATGATCTTGCAAGTTACACTGTTAGGTCCACATCCCAAATGGGTATCTGTTTTTAGGAGGTGTTTGCCAATATGTATGATTTTGTTTTCTAAAAGAAAATGATCTTCCAAGTTGCAAATGATTTTCAATTTCTTCTGACACACATTAAGGAATTGATGCAAATTGGTATTTGATTTTTGTGTTCTAATTCTTTTGGTTGAATTTCCAGCCATTCTACATAAAGCACACCACACCAAAGAAGCTAAAATTCTCACCAGGTCCCGCTACCAATGTCAAGGTTGTTGCAATACTGAAATGCACCAAATTTTTACCATCAAATTATTTTTCTTCTTCTCTTGGTTATTTTGTTCCCTGCACTTGTCCCGTATTTTGAAAGCACAATGTATCAGATTTTACAACAATGTTAACAAAATTGCAGGCTGTGAGAAGTGATGAAGAATGTTATTCAAGGGGATGATGATACGTGGAGTCATGGTAACTGATTTTCTTGGGGGCTTGCTTCATGTTATTCAAGCCATGTTAAGCCAACCTTGCATTTTCACTTGATATTACCAGGTTAAGTCTCGTATACTATAAGGAGTATTCTCTTCCATGCATCTCACGTTACTGAGTATAACAATGGGTGCACCCATTTATTATAGGGTGTTGGGAGCCACAACTAATCAGTTTTAAGTGGTGGAAGAGTTCTGCAAATACTTGTCCTTCTAGTAGGCTTCTTTACAATGGCTGTACTACCATTTTTTTTCCTTTTATTTAGGACAGTAATTTTGTATGCAAATTAAATTCTGCTACAACTTAAAGTAAGTTTGCAAACAGGTTGATAATAAACTGGATGATCTAAAGCTAACTATCGAGTCCACAAACAAGTCGTTGCAAGAGCTTCATCTATCCCAGTGTCTGATCTTCAAGTAAGCTTTTCGAGGAATAGTAGGCCTTAGTTGATTACTTGCCGAGTTCCCCATGCGCGTTTTTCCCAAGTGTGGACTGATGGTAACCATATAGATAATGTTTATGCCAGCTATGGCAGTTTGATTCTTAGTTTTGAACTTTTGATGATCTTTTTCTGAGAAGCAAAAACTGTCTGATCACCCATGCTCAAGATTATTTTCTGAAGCGTTTGCTGTGTGTGCTTCAAGGTCTTCAAACTGCTCATGGGCCGAGTCTGACTTCCATGTGCATCCGTTGTGACGGTTTGCTTCGTTTTTTTTTATAAAATGGAAAATTAAACAAGACACGGGAGGGTTCTGCCCCTTAAATCAATAACTGCCTAGCTCTTATTCAAGTTCTACAAGGGGTCTCTGCTACTGATGACAGTAATATTTGGTTAGCTACTAGTGTGTTGCTTGGATCCATATTAGCCAGTCATCAAAGAATGTGGTTAATTCTTTAGCTTCTATGTCCAGTTCCAAGGGGGAATGATTTCAGATCGTGCTAGTTTGGCTTTCAAATTTGTTGTATTCTTTGAGTTTTCACACTAATATGCAAAACTATCTTGTTGATTCCAGTAACGAATGATATAGTAGTTTACCAAAAAAAAATTAAATTTTGATGAATTCTGTAATAGGGAAGTTGTTCCAGATTCTGTTAATGTAGTATTCTTGAAGTGGGTTAAGATTGTTAACCACATTGACACCAGTGAAAATGCTACCCAAAGCTCTCATGTATGACGTGCGCCTAATGTCAGCAATATTTCGTTCAATTGACCCCTTATTCATTTCCAATAATTAAATTACCTTATAACCGGATTGACATCTAATTCAATTAAGATTTTAGTATGTTACTATTAGTTTGTATATTCATGTCTACAAAAATGACAGTTGTTTTTCTCATAGGCTTCTCTATAATAGTTAAACTACCTTTTTCTGAGATGTTTTTTTTTTTTCCATTTCGTTCAAAGTAATATTGTAGAATTAAATTCTAATGATTTATATGGTGGGGAGGTTGTTCCAGATACCATTAATGTAGTAGTTTCTCTCATATGTGATGCTATGTCACTTTTGAATGTCACTAAGATTTCGTTCAATTAGATCAATTTTCATTCTCAAGAAAAAGATAGCCTTAAAATTGGAATTACATCTAATACAATTAAGATTTCAGTATCATGTGTCAAAAAAAAAACATAGCATATATTCATTAATAATATATTATAAAATTATCATATATTTTTAATTCATTTTGTTGACTTTTTTCAATTATTATTATTATTAATATATTATTTAATATCTCATTTTCAAAATTCTCATGTTCAAAGCATGTGCATTTTCCTAGTATTTAAAAAATAAAATTAAAGAAAATTTTCCACCGGTTTTTCTTGCCTAACCAAGGTGGTTTCCCTACCTTTTCCATAGACCAAACAATGGATAAGAAAAACTGTTCCCTTTCCCTCCCTTTCTCTTTCCTCCCTTTTTTTGGGATAAGTAGACTGTACTTCCCCTCAGAAATCTAAAATTACAGTCACCTCTTAATCTACTAATAGCCCCCCTTATAAACTGCATCCCCCTTCTTTTTATGCAAAACACAGCCTAAACGGCAAGGCTCAAGACTAATGGAGCGGAGCTAGAAGCAGTAATGGAGGAGGTAGCAGCAGCAGAATGCTTCTAGCAAAGAGAACCAGATCCTGATCATGAAAATGCACCAACCATCAACCAACCTCTTTTGATGCCCAAGTCAAACAGAAGCTTTTTTCGAGGCTAATGGATTGCAGCTGTGTCGATCCAATGTTAGCGGGTTCAAGGCACCTTGAATTGATTCTATTCTCATAGCTGTGTGGCCTTCATGTTGGTACCTTGGAACCCCAACTCCTTAAGCAACTAATTAAAATCTACGCCCCACCCCACACATGACACCCCATGGCTTCCACTTCCTGAGAGGCTTCTTTTGCTCATCTCATCCGGTAAGTGAATTATGAATAGGATATTCAAGAAAGCTTTCGAACTGGAAAGTCTGGATAAACTTTGCAGTTCTTTTGGAGTTCACTCAAATTAATCAAGTATAACAGTTAATAAGCTTTCATTTTTTGTTGGTGATCAGAGGTGGGACTTACCAGTTACCACCACCCTTCTTGGAACCTTTCTTAAGTAATTTCTTTTGAGCTTTAACAAGATGCATAATTTGTGGTTGGAAGAAACTGGCATGGTTACTACATACACAATGTTAACGGAGGTGGCGTTGTTATGAACTTTTTCACAATGATGTCATGTGTTAAATCAAATTCGGTTGCAAGATTGCACGTCTCATTGTGTTTGGTTTTTATAATTTTTTTTTTTCAATTTCACACTAAACACATTTTAGCTTTCAATAGAGTCCGTTTGGTTCATGATCAGAATCTGAATCGGAATCGAAATCTTTTAGAATCAGAATTGGAATGGTCTATTCCCATAAGCTGTTTGGTTCTGACAAGAATGAGAATGGGAATTGGAATCAACAGAGATGGAATTTCATTCCCAAGGGAGGGGTAAGGAATGGCCATTCTCTCAAATGGGGGAATGTCATTCCATTAGAAATGGGAATGAGATTCTAATTCCATCCAACCAAATAATTAAAATCATTCCAGACCCCTATTCTTGTAAACCAAACGGGACCTAAGTTTTAGAGGGTAGGGATCTGCTACCAACAGAATGCTCCCAACACTGTCCCAACGGAGGCCACTGCATTCAATCATGGGGAGACGTTTCCAACGTGCCTGTAATGGCTTGTTGGGACAGTTTGGAAGTGTTTGTTGGGGGCGGATCTGAAATCAGTTTTAGAAGTCCCCCTCCATTGGTTTGTCCACTCAAAACAAATCAGATTGTGATCAATAACATCACAAGTCGATGGACGATTGTTGAGCTGTGAGTATTGTTTTCTCTGTGTCAACTTCAAAGGGAGCATAAAGGCATAAGCAACTGGAAATTTATCCGCAGCAGATTAAGTACATGAGCTGGAGCACTAACCCGAATATCTGCTTTAGAATGTTGCCTATTCGTGTATATATTGGACATAAATTTGATTTGGATAGTAGTCGTACAAGACTGCAAAGACTCTCTAGATTTTGAACAGATAATGCATTGTTTGATAAGGGGTTGAACTGAATGACTTATTGCTTTGTTTTTAGGCTGCATTTGATAAATTTGATAAGATTGAAAATGCAAATATGTTTAATGCAAATGGAAATATGTACGTTCATGAAAGTTCAAAGTGGAGTTGGTTTTGCATTTACAAGTTCTGTATTCTTACCAAGCATATTTGGTTGCGATAAGTACAAATACGGTTTCCAAGATTGGAATCTACTTTTTTTTTTACACCAACAAATTTTCCTCTCATTTTAAATGCAAATGTCAGGGGTAAAAAAAACAAATTTGTGTCATTTTAGTATAAAAAACGTATTCTTATCAAATGCCTATAGTTTGCACTTTTATATAGTTAGTGGATAAAATAATTAAATACTCTAGTGTATCTATAATAATCAACCCAACTTCAGCTTCAGCTATTGAAGAGCTCACAATCTCCTTAATTAACAAAAGAATTTATTTTATTTGTTAATGACTTCCTTTTTCTTTGGTTTATGCTTCCCCTGCAGAAAAAGATCTGGCATAGGCAAACAAACAAAAGATAACCCACCTTCTAATGAACCGATTGATTGGCTTCTTCTGTGATCCTAAACTATAAAAAATACCTGCATCAATGAGGATGGAACCAAGTCAATGCGTGTACACATGCATTTAATTCAAGAGCATGCACAAAAATGGTCTTGCTTTTTGTTTGTTGGATTGATCCAAACTCTGCTTTGGGTATTAAGAGAATGTGTTGTTTGCATTCAAAAATATTGCAGTTGAAAGAGTGTGGAGCCAAACCATCCAACTAATTGCAGCTCGGATTGGCCATATCCCCAAAGTAGAATTGATTAAGCAATCCAAATTAACCACTCTACTAACAACATCTTTGCATCCATCAAGCAAGGGAAAGCGTATGAGAATGAGAGGAAATGCTTTTGGCATCACAACCCAATTTTGGACAGGGCCTAGGCCAAGCCTAGAATCCCGGCCACAGCTGTTCAACATTCAAAACCCTCAAAGAATCCTCTAGACAGCTCCCAACACCTCCAAACCCTTAAAACCCTCTCTCTCCCTCCTCCATCCTCATCTCCCAAACCCCATTAGTTCAATTTCCTAGAGCTATCCTTTCCCCTCTTCTCTGTCCAAGGGGACACAGGAACTCATAGAACCAACACATGGGCTCTTTGGTAGGGCATGTAATCCCCGGATTAGGTTTCCTTGTAATTGGATTATGGCACCTCTTCAACCTCATCAAACTCCACGCGCTCAACCCAAAATCCTTCACATCTTCTCCTTGGTTTCCAACCTCAAGAATGAGATACTTAGAACTCTTCTTGATCATGGGAGGTAGCTGCACCTCTATAGCCATGGAGCTCTTTATCGGCCCAGAGAGCCACCAGCCATTGGACTCTGATGGAACCATCCCAACCACCCACCTCCACAACTTTGAGCATGCCTCCATATCCCTCTCCTTCTTCATATATGCAGCTTTTGCGTTTCTGTTCGATCAAATTCAACCAAAAGCCCACCATGGGATCACCCAGCTGCTAGGAGCACTGGCTTTCGCCCAAGAGCTCCTCCTCTTCCACCTCCATTCGACTGACCACATGGGTGTGGAAGGCCAATACCACCTGCTTCTACAAATCATAATTCTCGTATCTATGCTCACCACTCTTATGGGAATTAGCCTTCAGAAGAGTTTCTTGGTGAGCTTTGTCCGGTCTCTTGGTATTTCCTTCCAGGGCATTTGGCTTATGGTCATGGGCTTTGCTCTCTGGACCCCATCGTTGATAGCAAAAGGGTGCTTCATGAACTCGGAAGATGGCCACTTTGTGGTGAGGTGCGAGACTGATCATGCCCTATACCGAGCTAAGGCACTGGTGAACCTTCAATTCAGCTGGTTCACTGCTGCAGTTGTTGTCTTTGGTGTTTCCGTTTATCTAGCTCTGACTGTAACTTACACCAAGAAAGTTTGGTATTGGTCTCTGGGTAAGATGGAGGAAGAATATGATGATGATGATGACGACGAGTCACGGCAGAAGAGCAGACCTGATGAATCCAAGAGTTTGATTCACATGGGAAAAGGATCAACACCAGGGATGGACATTGAGAGGTAGACAAGAAGTTAGAGGGGACCTGGATGGAGGAGTTGATTATTGATCATATGTCCGTTTGTTTATTCAATAAGCCCCTCGGAATAACGGGGTTGTTGAGAACTGATATACCAATAAGAAGAGTGGATAGATGTACTGGGGGGAAGGTTTGAAATTGTTTGGCTTTGTGTTGATAGCTTTTAGCTGAGAGTGAGCTCATTGTGTTTGAATGTATATATATAAAGAAAGGCAAAGAGGACAGGATTTATATTTCCTTTAAAACTAATAAATTGTAAATTGTATTGCTCTCCAGAATATTTGTGTTTGAACTTCTATATATCTATGTATATCTATGTTCTATGCCCAAAGACGCTTGTTTGATTGCTAGGTGGCTGCTGCGAGATCAAATCAGCCCTCCACAACGTCCCACAGCACATCCCGGCCATGTATTGGGAATATCTGGAGATGTTCCCAATACACGACGGAGATGTGCTGTGGGACGTTTGTGGGGGGCAATCTTGTAGGGGGCTGATTTGAACTCGGCTGCTGCTGCTTTTGTCCGTAAGCATGTCAGTGGGTCGGGTTAAGTGGTAGACACACCCACTAGGGAGAATGACGGTTCAACTCAGGATCAGAATTTTTAGGCCAAAAGTACAGTTGGGGTAGGTGCCAACTTGGACTTGATGCCAATTCATGGGTGGCCGGTGTATAGAGTGGGGGTTTTTGACATTTTGAATGTTTATAAATCTACGGTGGAATTCAGAAATCAGAATTGGGCCTGTCCGTACTTTTCCGATATTATTAAGCCCCGTTTGGCATGTCTTTTTGCATGGGCTGTTGGTTGTTTAGAAGCCTGGCAGCTCGCGTTTTCATTTTTTCCCGTTTGGTTGGGAGAAAATCTAACCGTCAAAAGACAGCATCCTAAAAAGACGTAATAAGCTCGATTCGAGCTTATTTTGGGAAGCTAAAAATGGAGTTTCTCGCCTTTTTTCATCTCGTCTTCGCAAGGATGGACACACAAAAAGATGCACCTCCATCCAAACAGTCTTTGAGCTGTCAAGATTTTTATGTAAAAGCTCATTGCATCTTTTGACTGTCAGATCTTCCAGAAGTTCTTTCAAAAAAGACTTGTCAAACAGCACCTAAAGTTAGAGTTGGGTTATAGCAAGGATTGAAATATGTATCCATCTGTATCGATACATATCGATACTACCCGTGAGACACAAATGTGCATGCGCATACTCTTCTACTAAAAAAGAAAGCTGCAAGGATTCAAACCCACATCAAGAGCTAACTCAACTAAGAAAGAGCTTAACATCCATGTCTATAAGCCACTACACCACTCTATCTTTTGTGTTTATGAGTAAATGAATATAGCTTTTATTTCTTTATTACTTAAATGTAATTCAAATAAATAATACATATTACAGTTAACTCCAACTAAAAATAAAAAATGTAATATTTAAAATTAGTATTTTATAAAATACTGGAAATGAATAATATATCAGATCCACATTTATATCAAAATATTATTTGAATCTCAAAAAAATTATAAAAATATAATATTAATAAGAGAATAATTATTTTAATACTTAAAATTTATAAATTTGCACATGATATATATATATATATATATATTAATTTATACTACATAAAATCATATTTACTATTTAGAAAATAAAAAATGTTTACAAAATATTCAAGAATATAATCTTAAATTTAATCTATCAAATCTACTAATTACATTTATACCAGAAAAGAATTTTAATTAGAAAATTATAGGAATAAAAATATAATAATGGATTAATCATTTTAAAAGTTAAAATTTATGAATATGCATATGATATATATCTTAGAAATTTTAATAAATTTGATTTATTTTAAGTTGAGATTATAAATTTTATAAATTATTAATGAATATTTTAATTTGCATAGAGATTTTAATATTTAGTTGACCTCTTTGTTAATGTAAAAAAGTAAAAATAGTAAAATTGAAAATAATTGATATAATAATTAAAATATAATAGGAAAATATGTTTTGAATTTTGGATTCTTGATTGATACATTATCAATAAAATTGTGTGATATCTATGCATCATATTATATTAATTGTAATATATTTTTTCATATACACCATTAAATATATTTTTTCTATGTATTTATACATTATTTATGGTTATTTGGCCTTAAATTTAATATTATTATGTATTATGAAATTTTTATGTGTTTCTCTAGCATATCTATATTTTTCGTTCGTATTCATGTGTTTTCAAAGTGTATCCGTATCTATATCTGTATCCAAATTGTTCAATACGATACTAAATATCGATACTTTAATCCTTGATATATAGATTTGATTGAATACTAGCACACTGTATATAGGATGGATGAGGCTGGGTTCCATACTCCCTCTCTTTTTAGTTGTATCCGATCACAAGTTTAATTTGAGCCAAACCCATACCAAACTTCTTTAGACTAGTAAACATTAAAGAGAAGAAGACTTCTTTGAATGGCGATGGGATGTCCTACAAGCAAAATCTCTGCACATACTCTCCAAGCATGTGAATTCAGCCATGCATTAGAAACATCTTTCAATGAATTTAAATATAGGATATATTTCCGATGTGTCACTGGATGCTGTTTGTATAGAGTTTTTGCTTGCAGAAGATCGATTTGGGCTCCTTAGGATGCATATGGCCATTGAAATCAAAATTTAATTTCTATGTGGAATCCTAAGATGGTGAATGCCATGCATGCTTAGCCAAATATTATGCTGTCAAAACCCATTCAATTGCTGCTTTTGATCTCAATTTTTTTAGGCTCTTGACTGATGGAAGATTAATTAAGGACAAGTACCATTACAGCCAAAAGCATTCTCAAGGCCAATGGACCACACGGTAACTTCCAAAAACCATTCAACTGCATTCTTCTCTATGTTGGGTATGCTTTATATCTTGGATCAACCCTCTCCATGTCATCCTCTTAGGTATCCTATAAGGCTATAACTGTCTTTGTGAGACTCATCAAAGTGATGGATGTGGATCTCATTTATTTTTTGTGGTATACCATTTGTTAGATACAACATGGACGATAGCATTAAAATTATAAAAAGAGAAAGAGCCATCTCTTTCTTTAGAGACTAGAGATTTCATAGTCAATCAAGTCTTCTTGGCTGAAGACTTGAAGTTTCGCCCTCTTGGTTGAAATTTCCTTGAAATTTCAGGCAATTGAGGACAACGTACATAGGATTTCTTCATTTTATTTTGTTCTTTTGTTTTGATAGATGCCATTTTATTTTGTTCTTTCCTTATCAATTCCGCAACGTACCCTCTTAAGTAAATGATATAAGGTCATTGAGTCATTCAAGTACTTGTTTTTTATTTTCTTTCTTTCAATTTAAAAGCTATGGATAATGCACATTTGTAAGTATTAATCATTTATGATATATGGTATTTGGATTTAGCTTTTATGATATATACAAAATTAAACACAAATATCTGCTTTATATAAAACAGAGATAAGTAAATATGCAATTTTTAATTTTCATAATTAATAAGATATTAGGTGCAAAATGGGATTCATACTAAACATAAGACTTAATGAAAATAAACTTATAAAAGTAAGGTGTTTTGGTATATAGTACATTGCACAATTGTTCAACGTTCTGAATATCCATACAAGCCAAAATGTTGATTGGGGTGTATTGGCTTGTATCATTGGGCACTTTATGTTTTTTCTTTTAGTTTTTTCAATCCGGTTCAAGGGGTCGGTTTAAGGCACGTCTACCTTAAAGATGTCACACTCCAAAACATCTACTGTAAGGGCATATTGAGGGGTCACTAATATGATACATATGAACTAATACACACGTTAAGAAATTTTAGTCCTTGCAATTGTTTATTGTAATTTAAACAAAACATACAAACACTACTAGCTTGGTGCTGCATAAGACAAGGTTTTTAAAACCATATCGGACAAGGAACTGTTCTGGGTCTGGTTTTTAGGTCGAATGGTCCAATTGTATGGTCCAAACAGATGACTTATTTTTGACAAAATAATAAAAACAAAATTAAAAACAAAAAACAGCCAAAACTGTTATCCAAATTGACGGTTCAACTGTTCGACCACCCAAATCAATGGTTTTTGGACAAAAGGCAATTTTGGGGTGAAACTGAACCGATCAAATTGAAATTATTGGGTTCCTCAAGACCCTGTATATGTAACTTTATGCAAAAGGTGGTATAAATGTTTGAACTCAAATCTGTCCAACCAAACATGATCTTGGTACCATGAAGTCAAAATGTTTATATGGTTCTTACATTGATTCAAAAGGGAAATGCAACACCTTCATTTCAAATACCCTCAAGTTGAAATTATTCTTCTTGGGAGAAAAAAAAATTCCTGTCCACATTCTACATCCTCAGGCACCTCAGCAATTGTCCCACAATTTTAGTCCATAAGAAACCAATGCAACAATAATAGTGTTAGAGAGAGCCGAACACGGATGACCCGATAGTTGACGTCAGTGTTTTCAAAACCGGACCAGACTAGAAAAATTGGAAACCAGTCACCTCACCGGTTCTATTTCACACCAAAGCTGTTTTTGATAAAAAAATTGTTGATCTGGTCAGCGAACTTCTGACCTAGGTGGTCGAGCCGTTGAACTGCCGATGCAGACAACAGTTTTTAGCTATTTTTTTGTTTTTTTTAATTTTAATCTTTTTAATTTTTTATTAGAGTGAGTCATCTGTTTGGACCGGATGGTCAGACTAATCGACCCAAGGACCAGAGCCCATAACGGTTCCTTGTCCAGTCAGGTTTTAAAAATCTTAGTTGAGATGGTCACTTTGACACTCCTTAGGCATGGGATCACTTGCCATTAGACCTGTTCATGGGTCGGGCCGGGCCAGGCTCGGGCCGGGCTTTCACTTGTCACTAATGAAAATATACTAGGCCCGAGCCTGAGCCCGGCCCGACCAACGGGCCTATAACTTGGGTCAAATTCAAATTAGAATTAAAAATTCATATAGTATTTTTTTTTCTATTTAAATGAACAATGGGCCTACAAGATGGTATTTTTCCCTTTCTTTTATATTTTAAAACACAAATTTACATTCTTAAATAAAAAAATTATTCAAGGGACATAATCACATAACTAATTTTAAGTTTAATATTAGGTTGGGCCGGTCCGGGCTCGGGCCGGGCTATTTTGACAAAACCCGAGCCCGGCTCGAATTTATTGCGAGCCGGGCTTTTTGGCCCGAATTTAAGCCCGCGGGCCTATAAGCATGTTCAAGCCCATCCGGGGGGTCGGGCCGGGCCGGGCCGGCCTGTTGGGCCACCCGGCCCATGAACAGGTCTACTTGCCATCCCTCTGGGTCGCCGCTTATTAGGCTCTTTATAATATGAAATTGGATTTGGTCCTTGCAAGCGCATAGACATGGCATCAGCCATCATATCTCCAAATGGGTTGAGAAAATGGATTTGAAGAGGAAAGGAAGAAAGTGGACCCAAGAAGGCGCTATGTATTCTCTGGGGAGGAATCGGCCCATTTGTAGTTCTTGCCCCAAAATTAGTGGATTGAAAGAGATTAGGGGGACTGAGAAAGAAATTAGCTGGTTGGTAAGGTCTCCTATTAGTCATAACAGAGACTTGGGATCGAATTCGGCCTGCACCTGAGTTGGGAGATGGGCTACCTTCATTGTGTAACCCTTCAAAAGAAATAAGAGAGAGAGAGAGAGATTATTGTGTCATTTCTTATCTTAAGGACTCATCTCCTTTTTGTAATTAAATATGAATATTGAGTTTTTAAGTAAGTGACAAGTCCTTAAAATATGGAATGCCAAATGCAGATGGGTGGAGAGAGAGAGATGGGGTCGTGGATCTTTGATCCCCCTCTCAAGCATGGCCCCTCTAGTAAATTTTGTTGACTCATCAAATCTTTTAGATCGGACCAAATGAACTTAGTTGGGTCAACTGAGGGGTGGGGAAATGGAGACCGGATCTGCTCCTTACACTTGGCGCCTTGTAGGCGTGAGGCGCCTCACACGCACATCCTATCATGCATTGGAAACATCTCCTATACTTATTAGTTATTATTCACGGGAGATGTTCTCAATGCATGGTGGATGTGCATGTGAGGCGCCCATTTGTGAGGAGCAGATCCCGTCATAGGGTAGTGCTCCCAATGTGCTACTGGGTTAGTGTGGGGAGCAGACATGGTTTTCTTTGACATGTCAAGTGGGTTTTTACATACACTTACTTTGTGCCAGCCTAATTAGGCGGTATTTTGTGTTTCTTTTGGTCCAATGAAAAGCTCAAAAGACCAAAAAAAGGTATTTTCCATGGTTTTTTAAAATGACCTAGAGATCGAACCAATCAGGGGTCCGGTTACTGGGTCGAACTGTTTGCCCATTCAACCTGAACGGTCAACCCATTCTGATTAAAAAAATGGTCAAAACCGTTTGAACGGTTTAAATAGTTTGAACGATTAACCACCTGGGTTAGCAGTTTGTTGACCAAAATCAACGATTTTGGAGAAAATTGAAACCAATCACCTGATCAATTCCCGATTTTTCCAATCCAGTTTTGAAAACCATAATATTTTCCCGTATACTGAAAAGACCCAAAGACGAGTGCAATTAAAGGCCAAAATTTGGGCAAATTCAAATGAAGTTTTTGATATTTATATACTGAAAATAGCTTTCCCAGCTGTTTTTAACAGCCCAATAGGCCACAGTACTTATCAAATAAGTTCAATATATTTTTTCATCTACTCGACTGTTAAAATTAAAAGATATTTGCCAAACATCACCTTAACATTGGCCCTTGAGAATGCTCCAGCCATGACACGTTACAATGGACGTGTGGTAAAAGAGTAATTGCAGTCAATTTTCTTTTTACCAAAAACACAATTATAGGGGCCAAATGGGTTGACGTATCATGCCTAAAACGTTCCCAAATCCCAATAGCTCAGGCCAAGAGAGAGAGAGAGAGGGGGCACAGCTCAAGCTGTCAAGCGTGGACAGCCAAAATTGTATTCCTCTTTGGCCAGTGGCCTCTTGTATTTGCACAGAAATTCTGTTTATCTGATATATCTCAAGTGGTTAATCCGAGCTCTAAAATCATTGCATCGTCAAATCGCCGAACACTAATTGACGTCATGGTCTGAAAATTTAACGACTGGGATTTGATTGCTGGGTAATTAGTACAGCACCGGTTGTCTGGTTTTTTTACTCTCGGATGTTTCCGAAGGGCTTTCCAAGTCCAGAGTTCCGATTCCGAAACCCCCGGCACCTCCCCTTCCATACTGTGGATCCCAAACAGTAACGAAGAAGAGAGCTGCAAATTAGGGTTTTGTCGAGTAACATCAACGTATGGCAGAGCTTATGGATTCCCGTGTTTGATGGTGGCGTTGGTTGCAGTGGTGTAATGGATAACTCAGACGCCGAGGAGCCCGAGAAGAAGAGACGTCATCTTAACTCCGTATCGTCTGCAATGGCAAGGAGTTCTCCTAATTCGCCCGACAACAGACCTGTAAGTTTTGTTCTTTTTACTGACTCTCTTTGTTTGCTACCTTTGTTTGCTACCTTTGTCGAAGCATAAACTCAATATTACCTACGTTCAGTATTTGATCACCTTTCCGAGTGAAAGTTCGTATCGTGTGATCTCTTCATCGTCTATTTTCGGAGACTTCTTCCTTTCGTCTCTGTTTCACCTTTTGGTTCATTTTTCGGTGAAAATGTGGTATTAAAATAAGTGTGCGTGGTTCTCTAGTGAGAAAGTTCCCAAGTCTAAAAACGTGGCTGTAAATTTGGGGGAAGGACGTAGAAGCATACAATTGTATTATCAAAACTTAGGGATTTGTACATTGAGAAGTGAAGTAAAGATAAGGGATACTACGGCATTCGACTAAATATGTTACAGTTTCTGAAACCCTAAATTGGAACAGATATATCTTACTCTTAATTGCTGATGTTGATTCTTTATTTATTTTCCAAAGGAAGTTCTAAATTATGGTATTATGGGTTAGTTTATGGAATTCATATTTTTTTATCCTGATAGGGCTTCTAAAGTTTACCTTGGGTTTTATTTAGGGAGGGAGGAAGGGAGATGAAAATAGGTGATTTTATTTATTTATTATTTATCTGGGGGCATTTCATTGGGATGAAGGGGGAGGGGAGATTAATCTTCTCTATGCTTTTTATATGTTTTGGTGTATTCTTTATACTAATATTTGAATTTAAATGTTTGCTCCTTGTTTAATGGTGTCTATCCTGCTAGAATGTATAATTTGATAAATAATAAAAATTTTATTAAAGGAGAGAATAATTGCAAAGGCCCATTGAGAGGCCCGAGGTGCAAACGTCCAAGAGGCTTAAGTAAGATTATGACTGTTAACAGATGTTATTTTATATATGTATAGTATCGTAGGGGTACTATTTGTACTTTTCCTTTTCTTTATGTTTAGTTGTTGTCGCCCTAGTATAAATATAACATACTGCGCCGCTTGCAGTATCTCTTTGGACTCTCAGTCCTCTTGTCTCTCCTCTCCTCTTTCCCTTTCTCTCTTCTTCCTGTACAACATGGTATCAGAGCAGGACGTCCAGGTCTGAAGGGTGAAGTCGAGCAGTCTGTCTTTTCCTCTTCCAGCATGTAAAAGACTTTGTTTCGAGGGTGACAAACTTTCAGAAGTTATCATCTGTTGTTCGGATGCCCTGATGTTCGACTGAAACTTTCAGAAGTTATCATCTGCTGTTCAGCTGCCTTGATGTTCGACTGAAGTACCTTTTGTTTACTCTCTTCTCCTTTCTAGGTCTGCCGATTGGATGTGAGGTGAGCTGCACCTCTTTCTTTTCCTTTTTTTTGTGGGGTCGTTTGATCCCTATGAAACCGTAGGTCGTAAGGACCTTGTTTATGTGCTGCAACAACAACTTTTTGGTGGACTGAAGGTCTGGAAGTTGAAACCGTAGGTCGTAAGGACCTTGTTTATGTGATGCAATAGCAGATTTTTGGTGGACTGAAGGTCTAGAAGTGGCTGGTACCTTCTGTAACAACTTTTTTTTAAGGCTGTGTTCCTCTTTTGGGTGTTGTTTTTGAATCTGAAATCATGAGTGGTGAAGATTCTGCTACATCCGGAGTTCCTCCACGCTGAATGGAATAAGTGGGGGTGTGGACCTATCTTTTCCCATGGTTGTTGTCCCTCTTGATGGTTTAAATTATTTAGAGTGGTCAAGATGGATCAAACTGTACATCACTGCAAGGGGGAAGATAGGTTATATTAATGGGAGAATAAAAGAATCACATTCTGGGAGTGCTGAGTATGATAGATGGAATCGGGAAAACAGCATGGTTATGTCTTGGCTTTTAGTCTCTATGCAACCTCAAATAAGGAGGAACTTCATGTGGGCTGAAACGGCAAATGAGATCTAGGAACAAGCAAAATCAACATATTCGGAACTGTAACACTATGCAAAAATCTACCAACTACAGGCAGAATCGTCTACTTGTAAACAGGGGGAGAGGTGTTTATCTGTATATTACTCTGACTTGACTTCTATCTGGAAGGAGTTGGATCATTATCAGAGTGTGGAATGGAAGTGTGATGAAGATGCAAAACTGTACAAAAAACTCGTCTCCCAACAAAGAGTGTTTGCTTTCTTACATGGTTTGAACCCTACATATGAGTCTATCAGGGTCCAGATCCTCGGTTCTAAGGATCTTCCATCAATCCAGGAAGTTTATGCTCTTGTACAATCTGAAGAAAGTAGAAGGAATCTGATGAACAGTCCTGGTGGAGATGCAGTTGTGTTGGCTGCGAAAGGGAATGTTACTACTAGTGGAGGAAATTCTTCTAGGAAAGGAGAACTTCAGAAAAAAATGGATGACAAAGATAAATTGTGGTGTACTCGTTGCCAGAAGCCCCGACACATCCGAGATACATGCTGGGATCTCCATGGAAAGCCGAAATGGGCTCAGGATCTGAATAAGAAGCAAAGTTCAGATGTGAATAAAAGGTTAGGACAGCAAGGTACAAAGAAACACACTATGGCCAACATGGCTACTCGAGAGAATTAGCCCCCCATCCATACTGTGACTCAGACACATTCATCTAGATCTGACCCAAGGGAGGATATTATGAATTCATTTCGTGACCATTTAGAACTCTATGATAGAGCAATTCGTCAGATGGATGCTCCTCCCTCAACCTCATTTGCGTCTACATCAGGTAACTCTGCCACAACTTTCCATGCTGCTTCTCATACCCTTGACTCTCCATGGATCATTGATTTTGGAGCGTCAAAACACATGATTGGTACGTCTTCTTACTTTCAAACCTATCACCTTCTTTCTGGAAGAGACAAGATGAGACTAGCTGATGGATCATATGCTTCCATAGCTGGTCAAGGAACCGTCTCTCTTCCCCTTGGCCTTACCCTCTCTGATGTTTTACATGTTCCAAAATTTCCCATTAATTTGTTCTCTGTTAGTAGTGTTACTAATTCCTTAAACTGCTCAGTGACCTTTTTTCCTTCTTATTGTGTGATCCGGGATCTGACCTTGGGGAGGACGACTGGTAGAGGACGTATGGTTGATGGACTTTATATGCTGGAGAATAAGGCTGGTGTTCATGTTACAGAGTCTAAGAGTTAGTCCTGTAAGAGTCAAGTTTATTTATGGCATTGTCGCCTTGGTCATTTATCTTTTGAGTATTTGAAAGTGGTGTTTCCAGATCTGTTTAAGTCAGTGTCCCTTTCAGATTTATCTTGTCAAACGTGTCAATTGAGTAAACATTGTAGAACTCATTTTCTTCCAAAAAATAGTAAATCTGAATTTCCTTTTCACATTGTTCATTCTGATGTGTGGGGCTCTGTTATTTTACCATTTGAGAGTGGTTGCAAGTATTTTATCACCATCATTGATGATTATTCTAGATATACTTGGGTATATCCTGTTTGCCGAACTGAACCTGTCAAGTGAGCAGAGAAGAAGAAGAGGAAGAAGAAGAGGAAGAGAAGAGGAGAAAGGAAGAAATGTTCGAATGGGCATTGTTCATCAGCCGGCCTTGTCCACTTATATAATAATAGTACACAAAGTTACATAAAAGGACCAAGATGCCCCTGATTAGTGATGGGACACCCAGTCAAATAAGACACTAAATAAAAATAGGCCCAGTAACTAAGGCCCATTAACTAAAGACTTAATACCCAATCCAGACAAGAGGATGACAAAATATCAGCCGAACCAACACTCCCTCTCAAGTTAAGCATGGATGTCAATCATGTTTAGCTTGCCAAGTAAGTCCAAGAATTTCACTGTGGTTAGCCCTTTAGTTAAGACATCTGCAATCTGCATCTCTGAGGGAGTGTAAGGAATGCAAAGTTCTCCTGAGACTATTCTTTCTCTGACAAAGTGATGGCAGCCTTGTTGTCGTAGTACAACTTGAGAGGACACTCAATCTTCACTCCTCGTTCACCAAGAAGAATCTTAAGCCACAACAGTTCCGCAACACCATGAGCTATAGCCCGATGTTCAACCTCTGCGCTAGACCTGGCAACCACATTCTGTTTTTTACTTCTCCATGTAACTAAATTTCCTCCAACAAAGGTGCAATATCCTGAAGTCGACTTTCTACCACCCACAGAACCAGCCCAATCTGCATCAGTATATCCTTCAACTTCAATTTTTTTATTTTTTCTGAATAGAATCCCTTTCCCAGGGCAAGACTTCAAATATCTGAGAATCCTTTCTACAGCTTTCATGTGAGGAATTTTTGGATTGTGCATGAACTGACTGACAACATGAACAACATAAGCAATGTCAGGACGAGTGAGGGACAAGTAAGTTAACTTCCACACTAGCTTTTGGTATCTTTCCTTATCAGGGTAGTCCTCTCCTACCGACTCCTGTAGACCATGGTTTGGTTCTATTGGAGTATCTGCTGGCCTACACCCCAACATTCCTGTCTCTTGTAGAAGGTCAAGGATGTATTTCCGTTGACATATATAGATGCCCTCTTTGGATCTAACAACTTCAATCCCTAGAAAGTATCTCATTTGACCCCGGTCTTTGATTTCAAATTCAGCAGTTAGGACCTCCTTCAGCCTTTTAATCTCTTCCTTATCATCCCCAGTAATTACCATATCATCTACATAGACGATAAGAGCTATAAGTTCCCCATTTCTCTTCCTTATGAATAGGGTATGATCTGCCCCGCTTTGAGTATAACCACCTTTCTTCATGGCTCCACATAGCTTCTCAAACCAAGCTCGAGGGGACTGTTTAAGGCCATATAGTGCTTTTCTCAGTCTACACACTTTCCTGCCAAATTCATAACCTGGTGGAGGAT